GTAAATTGTAAATTCAGATTGTATTCTTGCCTTCTATTTTGGTGTAATTATTTGTTGGTAACTAGCAAGTATATAGGATGATTGTGGGTAAATCGACCTTTTAATTTTTGTATTATATTTATTATTCATACGTGGCAAGAAAAAATAATTTATATACATAAATAGTCAAACAATATTTTTAACCCAAAATAGGTAAGCGAATTTTTTATTTTATTTTTTAACTCGAGCTAATGTCCAAACCAACTGACTTGATTTGATTCGTTTTCAAGAGCTGAATTGGATCGATTATGATTGAAATTTACCCAAATCAATCAACTCAATTTCGATTTCGGGTTGAGTTTAAACGAATTCAATCCGAACCATTTACAGGCCTACACACAGTTGAATCTTTATTCGTTCCCATTGTAAAATCTTTTGATTAAATATGTGGATCTTATACGCTATTCACTTTTTCTTTTTTTTTCTTCTTTTTTTTTTCTCCATCAAAAATTGACCTTTGTGGTAAAGCCAATTTATAAAGATGCGTATGGTATCTCCCAAATGTATTAAATTGTCTTAATATTTCTTCTTATTTTTGCAGTAGAGCGAGCCTCGTATATTTATCGCAAGGCAAAGTTAAGTTCTAGATACAATATGATAATTTCGTTTCATTTGGTTGTAGTGGAATCCTACTGAAACAAGTTGAAGTAAACACGGACGGTAATCCACTATAAACTTTGGATTTTTACTCTTTTTTTTTTTTTACTCACTCTTGACGATGCTTGTTAAGAGTTTATTCGGTTGCACTTTTCAACTTAATTCATCAACATCCTTTAATAGAAGAGCAAGGAGACGAAATATGCTCATCACTTTGCCCCAAGGGAATAAAACAGTAAAATTAGCACATTACCCGACCCAATTAAAATTATTTGAACAATCAAGTGTGTATATTCTTATTTAATTAATAATTGTATTTTAATGAAAATTAAATTTAATAAATTTTTCCAAACAATAAAATAAAAACTATAACTTTAGCTAAAATATATATATAATGTTTATAGCCACGTGGCAATGTGATCAGGCATATTTCGATTAAAATCTCCACTGTCGTGTTATTATTATTATGAGCAAATTACCTAAAATGTCCATTTTGATATAGTCATTTGCAAAAATGTCTAAAATTTTTGCAATGTCCATTTTCCAATTATTTGAACGAAAATACCCCTACTTGCAATTTCTAATTCCAAACTAGTATTCAAATTTTGTCTCATCATTAAGAATTGTGTTAGCCAATAAAATGGGGACACATAATCTATACTACTTGTTTCAAAAAGTACAAATGTCAATTGCATTAAATACGTTTGTCGGGCCATATGAAATGAAAAATGGATTGGATCCATCTATGAATCAAACCCGTATGAAAACATAAAATCCAATTCCTATTCTTCATTCAATTTGCATCTAAATGTGAAATCCTCCCTCTCAGTTTAGAAGTCCAGAAGTACAAAGCTAAAATTTACTAATTTAATTGGAAGTGAAGAGCCGCTGCACCTTTAATTGGAAGCGAAGAGCCGCCGCACCTTTAACCTTTCGTTCATTCCCAAATCGTTCTCCTAATTGTGAGCCGACAAAGATTCTTCCATCTTCCTTCCTTCAATAAGGTAACCTTACATAGATACATCTACTTTCTTTTTTTACTTTATTATTTGCTGTTTTAATTTTAATGTGTATTTCATCTGATTTAATTTTACAATGTTGTATTTAATTTTTGAAAGTTGCAAAAATTAGTTAGGATTTAGTAGGCTTCTCGTTATTATGTTTTATATATGTACATATTAATTAATTTTGGTGTAGAAACTTAATTTCCTGTGCATATATATAACCTAATAAATTCCTCTTGTGCGTGCATATATCTCTCCTCCAGATGCTTGGGTTTTTTATGTATATGTATAGATAATAGAGGTAGCTAACAATTCTAGGCTTGTATATTGGTTCTGTGTTTCTCCCCGAACAGCTACTAGCAGCAACAGCCTTCGTTTTCTTCTTCTTTTACTCAGTTTCTGCATGTATATTTATATAAAATAACGGCATCCGGCCAATATTTTACTTTTTAAGGGGACTTTATGTATACATGTAATTCTCCTTTTCCAGCCTCCAATGTGTGTGTAAAAATGTGTAATATTGGCTGCCTCCCTTTTCTGTAGGCATGTATATGTAATATATTATTG